TTGTGCAAGAGAGCAAATTGCTACTGGCAAGAGAAGCTATATTCCTTGATTGTTGTGCATATTGGCAATAAACCCATATTTTCCATCAATGAAGACTTTTAAATTTAGTTTTCAAGGTAAAAGGGAAAGAAAACATGTTCAGCATGAGAAATACACTAGGAGGAATGAACAGATAGTACTGTAAATAGGAAGAGGTCAGGCCTTTTCTCCTACTTGCTGATTTCTTCTCAGAGGTTCATTAGAACAATGCCTAAAAATGCTGAACAATTTGTAAAGGCTGATTAAAACGCAATACAGAGTCATTTTAGAAAAGTTGGGTTATATGTGACCACAGAGAAATAAATGAAATGTACTAGGAATGTAAAAATATTTCTGCCTGTCATTTGACCTTTCCTATTTTCCAGTTCAGTAGAATTAAAGGGGCTTCGTGGGTCCCTTCAGCTCCATCGTTTTCTGTTTGGCCACAGCTTTTAGAGGATCTAAAATTGCCAGGTATTTTTCTGGACAAGAACTATGAGCCAGGGGCTGCTTGCCATGCAGGTTTCTTAGACAAAGAAGTAAAGCACAGACTGATTAAATGACTCGCACAAGGCAATATGGGAAACCTGGAGCAGAACTGAGAAAGAAACCCATGCCTCCCAGCCAGGATTCAGCACCATAACACCTAGACCACACTTTTATCACTACCTCAGTGTTATCACAAAAACAGAACAGGAATTAAATTCTGACAAATAATCAATTATATAAGCATGGCAATCTGTCCCAGGGAAAGTATGTTTTAATCACCATTTCCCTCCAGTCTTCAGCCAAAGGCCTGATGGCTATGTTATTGCAAATCAAGAGCTCAGATGTGGCAGAATAATGCAGAAAAAGTTACAAATTCTTTGGTGTTATGACTTACCTGCACTTCATTGAGGATAAAAAAATGTAGTAATTGTCCTCTGCATAACCGAAAGGCTAAAGCTCCTGGGAAATTCAGGGGATGATTTCTGATTTTTAACTGCTTGTTGCTTCCCAGCTCCTGGTGTGCTCTTAAGGACAGGAGAACCACTGCTGGCTGGTCACTCTTTTGAAATGATAATGAAAAAGTTAATTCTCTTGGAACTAATCAGGTGTTATACACTGTTCTACAATTATTCTACTGAACAAAGGTCTGTCTAAAGCAAAATTAGTCTAACACCTGTAAATGACGCAGTCACATGTATTTTCAGTTGTCACAAATAAGAGATGTAGTCACCTTCTGAGCATCAATTTTTGCTGTATGGTTTTGTGGAAATAGTTGTTTTCAAAACTCGTAAGATCTCTCTCTGTGTCCATTTAATATCACCTGTTCTGAAAAAAGACATTAACACTTTGGGAAAGATACAGAGCTCATTGCTTGTAATGAGGACTGCCCAGTAGTGGGATGAGTTCAAAGGATCCCTGCCTTTTTTAATTCAAGACTGAATGGCATTACATCTTCTTTTGAATGCTGGGCTATAAAACCATCTGCCCATACAGCTGTTGTAGCTTTCTCATTATTTTAGACTGCATACTATGTGTTTGTTACTTTAAATTACAGTGCTGTAATTCACACCCACTGGCATGAGAGATGGAAACTGAAAAATCTTAATGCCTACTAAAGGCTGATGCGCTCAAGGAAGAGCAAGGAGCATAAACAAGTTGGCATTAATGCCCTTGTCAGTGAGTTTTTTACAGCAGGTGGGTTGAAACTTGTGCTTGTTGATGATAGATATATTAAATCATCATGTCTGGAAGCCTTGACTCAACACCTCTCAGTTGCAAGGCTCTGCTGGCCCATCTTGAGGCTCTAACACAGTGTGCAGAGTACTTGCACGGTGCTGTAATGCACCCAAAGTTGAAGGAGCTGCTACCAGGCATTCTGCCGGTGAATCGAGCCCCCAGAATTTTCCAAGCTGACCAGAATAATGCAACAACTGATATGTATACAAAAAAGTTGATATCCTGTGATGTTCCTGTTTATATCTCCTTAAGGAATTCCCACTGTGTTCATGAACTAGTATGAAATGGCCTAGGAAGAAAAAGAAAAGTATTAAAAGACAAACAAACTCCTTGCTGGAAATCCCAATGGTCCTGAGCCGGTATAGCAATTTCCTCCGAGATTTCCACCACAGGTGAAGGGCCACTGCCTTTTTCTTTCTCACCTGCATCCTACTGAGACCCACAAAAACATCTGCCTACAACCTTGCCACATGTTGCCAAGATCTTTCCATAAATCTAGTGAATTAAGATATCCTGCAGCAGAAATCCCATGGCGCACTCCAACTTTCTATTGCCCCTTCCTACAAATAGCATTGAATGTCCACACAGGACATCTAGCTAAAAATGTAACAGCTATTACATTTTTAAAGGTGCAGCCTAAATTGTTCTATATGTATTTCCTTGTGTGGGTAAGCCTCTAATCCAAGAATGTTTATACAGCCTCCCTAAATAATTGTCTCCCTAAATTACTTAAAAATTACACTACTGACAAGTAGCTAATAAGCTGCTAGGGCTAGCATAAACTTTTTTCTAACAAGAATAAACTAAGGGTGACAGAGATAGGGGAACTGGTTTAATTAAATCATAGAATACCAGCTTTATTTAAACAAAGTTAATGCTGTCTATAAAAGGTTTTCAGTGTTTGAAAGTTGGAAAGATTGGTAAGGGGTTGAGTAAACTACTTGTTGCTTCTGTTACTGGACTCTCAAGGCAGAAATCTGGAAAAAAACCCAAAACACATCTATGCAACACGCCACTACACTCAATCAACAGTACGCTCTGCTTTAAAAATGGTATGGAAGAACTCAGCTGGAAATTGAGTGTCAGTGTTCTCTTGCATTGACCATAACAACATATTTGTCTTAGTGCTCTGACAGTCGAACAAGCAGGTGTGCATGAATGATGCTCAGGGATGGCACTTGTGTATGTAATGCTTCCCAAAACGCGTTCAAGGGCACGTCATCCTTGGAGCAGGCAATTCCTAATTCTGTCAAGTTTGGTGCCTCCACAGGTTATCTGCCAAGTAATTGTCAGGTCTTTAACCTAAGTGTGTCTGGGGACAACTTCAGAGATCAATGGGAACAGAGAGATATTTTGCCTTTTTCCTCTCTGCACTTTCACCTCCCCTTCAGCTTCAGGTTTTCCCCACAACACACCCTTCTTTCATACATCTACGTCCTCATCAAATGGTGATCCAGCTGCGATGTGGAGCAGTATAGGGCAGACCCAAGCTAGCTTACACTGAGCACTGCACAGCCAAGGTGACTGTGGTGCAAGGCCTGTTACAACAAGCAAACGCTTATGAGCATTCCCGGCCCTCGCCCTAGTTGCCTCTATGTCACCGCACTTCCACCACTACTGCTCTCACCTCCAACTGCAGATAATCTGCCTGCACACATCCCTGCTCAGCCTTCTCCATCCCGCTTTGCTTGGAGGGTTCTTGGCTTCACCCCTACGTTGCGCTCAATGCCGGGCCACAGGTCCCAGCTGCCTGTCCTGCAGCCAACTCGCCCAGGGCTCAGACTTGGTTCCCACTACAGCTTTGGAAAGAGTTGTGCAAAAAGCACCAATTACATCCTCAGAGTACAGCAGCGCACCCCGCTAAGCTGCTGCCTGATCATGGGACCAGACAGGCCAGAAAACACCAAGCACATGCATTGAGGGCATGGGAGGCCAATGGCAAAACATGGGGACCCAAAGCTGCTCTGACATCCATAAACTGACCCAGCTTCTGAGCAATGACCCGGGCACACATGCACAAACTCATCAGCAGGGTCAGGAGCACACGTGCAGACCCCAGGGGTGAGCAGACATGCTTCATATCCTTTTTGATCCAAAAAGGGATGATGCTTATCTCAGAAGGACCCATAGCCCCAAACCACCACCTCTTCTCCTTGGACTGACTGCCTCACAGTACAGCAGGGTGAAGCTGATCTGCATGGGGCAACAAAGGGAGAGCTAAGCCTCTCAGCAGGGCAAGGTATTACGAAAGATTTGTGTGAGGTTTTACCCTCTAATTTCAGCTGTGACTTCCCTAGTGGTGAAATGGTACGTTGTCAGCTCACTTCTAGTTGTTTGCTTCCCTCACCTCAGCCCTGCTTATAAGATGCAGACAAACAGAGGTAAAAATGCAGTGCCGCAACTGTAGTCTTACAGCGTTCAGAATGTCATTTTTCTTATGGTAGAGAAGCAAAAATTACAAGCTTTATGCTTGTTATAAAAAATATGTCATAAAATGTTATTAAATGCACCTCCACCCAAATATCATTTCATCTAAGTCTCCCTCTCCCAAAAAAGAAACTGAGATTAGTTTGATCCAGTACTGGAAAGTGATAAAATAGCATGTGTTTTGCTCAGTAAAAATTATAGGTGATGTCTGCAATTTCTTGTTAAGACTAGTCTCCGTGTATTATCCTTGTATTTTGTCATTTTTACCCTGTCACTAACCCAGCTATCTGCTAAAGATGCAGAAATATTCCCTTTACACAAACAGAAAAGATCTTTTCACAGCCCCGGTCCTGCTTCACTGCCGGGGTGAGAGAAGGAGAACGCCATTCTGGTGGTGGAAATCAGGTGGTCTGCAGCCAACTTCTGCACCAGCCTTCCAACGAGGAGGCAGCTGCAGGAGCAAAGAACATACAGCTTTGCCTGCCTCTTGGGCGAAGGGGACCTGCTCCTGTTGCAGGTCCCATTTCCTCCTGGTGCCTGCGAACATGCAGCCTAAACCCCGGCACTGCCCCCAGCACTGCCTGCAGGCACTGGGTTACCACAGGGCGAACCATGGCATGCTCCATACTGTCTATCCCACAATCAGATACGTGATAAGGTGGGGACAGAGAAGAGGAAGCAGCCTGCTGTCACGGTGGGGTAGCTATGTCACAGTGCACTGACAAATGCGTTCACTAACACGCTGTTGCTGATCTCTGTGCAGACAGCAATTAAGACGTGGCCTTCTGCCTTATTTTCTGATCTGTACCTATAAGAAAAAAATAATTCTAAAAGTTTAGGGAAGGGGATTCTGTTCTTCTTGCTGCTGCTGCTGGAAATAGAGCAATTTATTAGAAGGTAGAGTTATGTCATATAGCTAAAAGCATATGGGTTTTTTTTTTACAGCAAAAAGGCATAGTGCCCTTTCAACCTGAAAAAATAAAACCTGATTACTTTGTAGTCTCAATTATTAAGACCTTCTTATATCAAAACCTTGAGACTCAGGAGTAAGGAACATGACTATGCTCTGTATGGAACGTAGCCGTACTGGAGATGAGCGTAGCACCTACTATGCCCTCCAGATCGTGTCCCTTCATATACTGGAATCAACCTAACATAAAGGAAAGCCGCTCTGAATGAAAATCTCTCTTAAGTTGCTCCAAAGTTTGGGTTAAAATGTAGATTGAAAATCCAGAGGGCATTATATAATCTCACTCAAGTTTGTTAATAAATGCTATATATACCAATTTCTGTCTCCTTCCAAGAAAGATAAAAAGTCACTCTGCCATCTCCCAGTGTTCTCTAGGACTTTTACCTTTATATTTATGGCAGATTGGAAAGGTTGAAAAATTAATCTGGCAACAGATTTTACTGTCATAAAAATAAAAAATGCATTCCAAACAAGTTAGGAAAACAGAAAATGTGGAGGGGTTTTCATAGATCAGTATTTTCTGACTTGAGGGGAGTTGTGCTACTACTGAAGGGCTTTGTGCAGTGGCAACACGGTAAACAAAATTCATGACATGCAGGCAAAAAAATCTGTAGCTGGGACTGGAATTGTGGTCTCAGATAAAAGGCGTTGACTAATAAAAAGATGAACTCTCATGAGACATTTAGAGAAACACTTTTGCTTATTCCTTTTCCAGAAATATATCAATGCAGACTTCTATTTCACCTGCGTGAATGGCAGAAAACAATTCCACTCTACTGCTTCCAGATCAGCAAGCGCCTTCTCATTTCTCTTCTGGTGCCATCTTGTTTCCCTTGTGCTCTGCTTCTTCGAAGTATCTCTTCTTTAGCCATCCGGCCAAACATCTTTTTTCTGGTTAAGGAACCCATGTGGGAAAAAAAAAAAAAAGAATGCCCACTGATTTTAAACTATGCAAATGAGGCATCCATCACTTCGTTTTCTGGCTATTCTATACACGCTGACACAAAGTCAGCTCTTGTAGAATATAAGTTATTCATGAAGACAGTCTCATTTGCTCTAAACAATGTTCTGCTTTTAATTACATTGTCACAGAACAGCTGAACAACTCTCAGGAGCCCATTCCAAAATTCTAAAAAAAAATTACTTGGCTCAGATGGGACTTCTGTTTACTGCAAGGTTGTATTTAAACTATACATCTCTATACACAAATATATATGTAGTTGAAGATACAGATAATAGCTCTGGTAGTGGTGCTGCTTCTTGGCTGGTGTTGCATCAAAGATGCAGTTGCCTCTGCATATACTCCTTCCTGGAAAGCAGAAACACAAGAACACAATACACTTGAACAAAAAAATCCCCCAAACATAGACCTTCCCCCTTCCCATGCACTTCAACCCCAAATCCTATCAACTTGGGCCATAGAAGCCTCACTGTTGTAAAAGTTGTCCGAATCTTCTGCTTCTGTTTGTGCTAGTTTCTTTTCTCCCAGATCTTTATTTGGATATGTAAATGATGTGCTTTAATGATACAGTGATGCATCCTGTAGATGCAAAATTTGGTCCTGCAGACCAAAATTGTGCTGAACTTTGTCAATGAAATGTTTACATGGGATTACAATTCAGTCCTCAGAGATTTAGCTGTCTGGTTCTTTCAGTCACTGTTGATATAGAGAAGAAGGAATTTCGTAGTTCTAGTACTTTTAATCTCCAAATAATATTTTCTAATTACTTAGGTCACTGACATGCAGATGCCTGAACAAATTTACTGTACTTGAGGTGTGGTTATTTACTCTTAAATCCAATATTCAGCCCAAACATCCTTAGCTGTTCACTGGTTTCCAGTGAAACAGTGTCAGATATTCTCACAGCTAGCGGTTTCCTGTGGTTTGAGCATCTCATGTGGTAGAAAAACCATTTTTTCCACTCAAAACCTACACTTTGTGTTTCATATAAAGCTGTTATAATTACAAATAAGCAAAGACGTATTTTACTAATATCTATCCTACCTTTTCACACCCAATGAAAAACCAGCATATAGCACTTCCCCAAGGGCAGACTTGGGAGGCAGAGCTTAGCCTGATAAATTCCTGCCTCGGTGCAGCCTTTAGGAACATACTTAACTCTGTGTTTAAAAAGAACATGACTGAAGGTTTGCAGGAGTCAGGGCCAGGAAGACTAGGGCCCATCACTGCAAAGCGATGAGTAAGCATACTAAATTTGCTCTGCAATAAGCGGTAGCTTTCAAATCACAAAAGACATGTGAAAATCACCTTTGTGAAATGAAAGAAGAAAATATCTAAGTCCGGGTACTATATAATAAATCCTTCAGGGATTCAAATGACTCTGTCAATTAGTAACAGAGTCTGAAATTTTAATCTCTAGGTCACCCATTCAAATCCAGCTAAATTCAGTAATAAAAGGTTATTGATGTTTAATGACACCTTCCTGAACAAGCAAAAAGAGCATGTTTAAAGGTAGCCTTAAAGGAAGCCCAAGGACAGAGGGACTCCTTCGACTGCGATCTGAAAGAAAAGACACTCGCATTAACACTAGCCACAGCACATCGCTATTTTTCCCACACTAATGGGAAAACTACAATATTGTATTTGAGCACGCTGGGAAGTTTTTCTCTTTGATTGAGTTAATTTATCTCAGTTCTTCACACTGATACATAAGGAAGGAGCTTCCCCACGTACAACACTTCTGTTTGCCTGAGTCACTGCACAGGAGAGGCTTTACATGGTCACGGCTTTTACAAGACAGAAACTATTTTGTGAGGGTAATATAACAACCAGTGGCTTGAGGGGAAAGGAATACATCCAAGGTATTGGAGGGCTGACTATTATTTCTTACATCACTTTTAAAAAAGCTGAACTGCACAGGCTTTCAGTACTTAGCGTGTACATTTCAGAGCCCATTGGCACTGCCAGATGCCCTGGTTTCGGCTGGGACAGAGTTAATTTTCTTCCTAGTAGCTGATATAGTGCCTTGTTTCGGATTTAGTATAAGAAGAATGTTGATGTTTTAGTTATTGCTAAGCAGGGCTTGCACCAGTCAAGGTCTTCGCAGCACGAGAAGCTGGGAGGTGGCACAGCCAGGACAGCTGACCCCAACTGGCCAAAGGGCTATTCCAGACCATATGACGTCCTGCTCAGTATATAAAGCTGGGGGAAAAATGAAGGGGAGGGACATTCGGAGTGATGGCATTTTGTCTTCCCAAGTTACTGTTACGCATGATGGAGCCCTGATTTCCTAGAGATGGCTGAGCACCTGCCTGCCCATGGGAAGTGGTGAATGAATTCGTTGCTTTGCTTTGCTTGCGTGCACAGCTTTTGCTTTCCCTATTGACCTGTCTTTATTTCCTTATATTAACCTTATATTACAAGTTTTCTCACTTTTACTGTTCTGTTTCTCTCCCCCATCCCACTGTGGGGTGAGTGAGTGAGCGGCTGTGTGTGGCTTAGTTGCCAGCCAGGGTTAAACCACAACACCAGATCAGACTGGATACTCTATTACCTTTTCACAAGGTAAAAAACCCTTATCATAGAATCATGGAACCATTTGGTTGAAAAAGACCTTTAAGATCATTGAGTCCAACAGTACCTCTCCACTGCTAAACCACGTCTCTAAGCACCTCGTCTATCCATCTTTTAAATACCCCCCGGGCACCACTTCCCTGGCCAGCCCATTCCAATGTCTGACAATCCTTTTGGTGAAGAAATGTTTCCTCATGTCCAACCTAAACCTGCCCTGGTGCAACTTGACACCATTTCCTCTCATCCTATCACTCGTTACCTGGGAGAAGAGACTGACCCCCACCTCACTACAGCCTCCTGTCAGGCAGTTGTAGAGGGCGATAAGGTCTCCCGTCAGCCTCCTTTTCTTCAGGCTAAACAATCCCCAGTTCCCTCAGCTGCTTCTCATCAGACTTGTGCTTCAGACCCCTCACCAACTTCATTGCCCTTCTCTGGACACAGTCCAGCACCTCAATGTTCTTCTCCGTGGGCCTTCGTGGCCACCGGGGCACACTACTGGCTCATATTCAGTCAGCTGTCAAACAGTACCCCCAGATCCCTCTCTGCCAGGAAGCTTTCCAGCCACTCTTCCCCAAGCCTGTAGCACTGCATGGGGTTGTTGTGATGCAAGTGCAGGACCTGGTACTTGGCCTTGTTGCACCTCATACAGTTGGCCTCGGCCCATCGATCCAGCCTGCCCAGGTCCCTCTTCAGAGCTTTCTTACCCTCAAGCAGATTGACACTTCTACCCAGCTTAGTGTCATCTGCAAACTTGCTGAGGGTGCGCTCAATCCCCTCATCTGGGTCACTGATAAAGATGTTAAACAAAACTGGCCCCAACACTGAGCCCTGGGGAACACCACTTGTGACTGGCCGCCAACTGAATTTAACTCCATTCACCACAACTCTTTGTGCCTGGCCATCCAGCCAGTCTTTTACCAAGCAAAGCAAACAGCCATCTAAGTCATGAGCAGCCAGTCTCTCCAGGAGAATGCTGCGGGAAACAGTGCTTTACTGAAGTCCAGGTAGACAACAACCACAGCCTTTCCCTCATCCACTAGGCGGGTGCCACCTTGCCATAGAAGGAGATCAGGTTGGTCAAGCTGGATCTGCCTTTCACAAACCCAGGTTGACTGGGCCTGATCACCTGGTTGTCCTGGACATGCCGAGTGATAGCACTCAAGATGATCTGCTCCATGACCTTCCGCAGCACCGAGGTCAGACTGACAGGCCTGTAGTTCCCCGGATCCTCCCTCCATCCCTTCTTGTAAATGAGCGTAACATTTGCCGACCTTCAGTCAAGTGGAACTTCCCCAGTCATCCAGGACTGCTGATAGATGATGGAAAGGGGCTTGGTGAGCACATCTGCCAGCTCCCTCAGTACCCTTGGGTGGACCCCATCCAGCCCCATAGACTTGTGTATGTCTAATTGGCTGAGCAGGTCACTAACCATTTCCTCTTGGATCATGGAAGCTTTGTTCCCCATCCCTGTCTTCTGGCTCAGGGGGCTGGGTACCCGGAGAACAGCTGACCTTACTGTTAAAGACTGGGGCAAAGAAGGCATTAAGTACCTTGCAAAGGTGAAAGGCAAAGGATGATCAGGACTATAGGATTCACCCCCAACAAGGGACAGATGTATATCCTTGGTGGGAAGAAAAAGATGACGTATCAGCATTACAGTTAAGAACACAGATAATGAACTGCAGCTCAGTGCATCTCACCACAGCTTTTGAACCAGCTCTGTGACGGGAACGTGTCAGAGTGCAATTCTGTTACTTTTCATTAAAGCAGTGACTGGAAAATGTTTTACTCAGTGCTTGTGAGAGCACTGTAAGAGAGGAAAGCCTGTTTTCACTAATAGTTCATGCTTTATGAACAAGGATACAGAGCTACTAGCACATATTGCTGTCAGGCAAGACTGGTCGTTCTCTTGATATTATATACCAGCTCATTCACTTGCCTGCTTCCCCATCTGATTCAGAAAACAAAATCTCCAGAGCTTTCCTACACCTCTGGAAGAAACCACTGGTGCTTGTCTGCTGCTCCTGGGTGATTATCACAGGCATTACTCTATAAGCTCCAGGAGTTTTCTCTGTTGCTGATGGAGAGAGATCACTTCTTCCAGAAAAGATTCAGAACAAAAGCCCAAAGCAGCTATACTTTATCATATCTGAAAGGGCTCATCTTTCTTCACTGACTACAGAGGAGTCCATGGAAACAGCCCTTACTAGACTAACGGTAGCCTTGCACAATACTCCCCTTCTTCCTCCAGAGTGTATCCTCTCCTATTACTTTAATTATCTTTGTTTACAAGCTAGAAAAGGAAGAGAAAGCTTGAATATATACAATTTATCTTGATTTGTAAGATCTTTTTTGGTAATACTTATTAATAACAAATTATGTTGACAAAATATTTTAACATATATTTACTGGACTATTTAGTGTCTTGACCTCCTAAATTATAGGCAAGAAGAACAACAAACAACAACAGAAGAAAATAATCAACTGATTTTAATATCCATATTAAAAACTAGTAATATCACCTTTGCAAAGAGATTTTTCTAATATACCAAGACCCAGACCATTTACAGAAGGGATCTATAGCAGTAGTTTACATTTCACCTAAAAATAGCTAGGAGCTATTTTAGATCATGGAGTATGGTAGAATACTTTCTGATACCTAGATTTGACTGCATCCCACATTGACTGAAGTTTCTCAGTAGCCTTTTAGTGTATTTAAGTCTAACAAGGACAACAATTAGGGTGAGTTAAAAGAGAGGAGGGAGCAGTATTCT